GGGGAAACGGGTCACGTCCCCATTCAGCCATGGGACGTGCTGGGTTACTGTGGCCCAGTCACAGGACCTAGCCTACCTCTCAGGGTTGCTGTGAGGGTAAAATGGAGGGGAGCGCAGTGTCTGCCACCCGGAGCTCCTTGGGGCAGTGTGGGCGGGGTCCTAGTGTGAGGGCCATCTCTCTGTGCGCCTGTCCGCCTCTGCCACCTGCTTCCAGGCCTGCCCCGTGCATGGTGCCCACTTGTGACCGTAGAGGTAGGCAAGGACCACAGGCCCTGTTCCCATGAGATTTCTTGGGAGCAAGTCTCAGCCAGCGGTGCAAGAGAGAGGGAGAGAGGGAGGGGTCTGGAAGTCTTCCAGAGGAGGATGGCGCCGGACGCCCCGCCCCCTCCCATTCCAAAGCTATGCGACCGGCCACCAGACCACGGGGCTGCACTGAGGTGGCTTTCCTCTTGGACCCCCGGTCTCTCTCCCTTTGAAGCCCTCTGGCTGAAGAGACGTCGGCAGTTTGTTAATTGCAGGTGCCAAGTGAAAACCTTGTGTGCCAACCAAAGATCACTCATGTTTCTCTTTTAAGATCTGTATTTAAAATCAATCTTAATTGTTCTTGAAATGAGTAAATATGAAATAATTGCTATGATGGAAAATATACGTATTTATTTAATTTATACCCTGCACCCTCTCCCCACAGGGGTCTCAGGGCGGGTTACAACATCTCAGATACAAGAAACAGAAATACAGTACGAACAAATAGGATAAAACAGTAAAGCCAATTAAAACGTCAGCTTACACAGTAAGCCAACCTGAAGGAGTAAAGCAGCTGGCCAGCTCCCCCGGTTCGTAATGCTGACCGAAGGCCGCCCGAAACAGATAAGCCGTGCGCACCCGCAGGGTTGGCAGCCACTGAGACTGCCCTTGCTCTGGTGCTTGACAGGCGGGCAGCTAGTGGGCCGGGCACCCCGAGAGAGGCGTGGAGAGAAACGCTCACATCACCATTGCTTATCCCATCTAAAGATTAAAAGATAAAGTACAATTTCTGAGAATCATACCAAAGTATTTTTGGAAAGTGTAGATCGATAGTCTGAAGGCCGTCTACATATTATTTGTTATTATTTATTTCATTCAGTTTGTATCCCGCTCACCCCCTTAGGGCTCTGAGCGGCTTACATGTTTCAATCAACACAAATCCTAGCCTAGGGCCACATACATATGGGGAAGGTGACAAGCCTACCAGGCACCCCTTTTCTTGTAGCGGGTCTTCGTTGTTGTCTTTCTTGCGGGAGATAGTCCGGCGGCGTCCTTCTCTGGCGCTGGTCTTTTGAAGTTACGCCTTCCGGTTTGTTGTGATTCCTTTTCCGGGCCTGGGCCACTCACACTTCCGCACATGCTCGCTGTGGCCTCTGTCCAGACTAGGCTCTGGCCTGCTGCGATGCTCCGTCTCCGCGCTTGTTGGTCCGGCCTCCTTCACTTGCTTTTGCCTCGCCAGCCGTCGCCATACTTCACCACCACTCATCGCTCACCGCTGCCGCCGCTAGACAAGAGACGGGTGCCCCCCATTCTAGTAGCAGGTACCCATTTGTCTATTCGCCCTTTAATGGGCTTTCGAGTCGCTGGGTGGGCGGGAGCTGGGACATAGGGCCGAGAGCTCACCCCGGCCACGGTGGGGCTCGAACAGTCGGAGCTGTTCGGCCAGATGTTAATGCAGGCTTCACTTACCGCCTGCGCCACCGCTCCCTTATCCAAGGAACTCAGGGTTGTTTTAGATATGGCTATCTTATATAGGCCCAATTACACAAAACCCTCGTGACTGCGCTAAAAGCTTCCAGCTTGTCCCCCCTAATGGGATGAGGTGAGCCTTTCTCTGAACTTGGAAGAAATTTCCAACAGAAATATGTGTATCAAAACTATGTTCTTAGGTTTTCCTGGGCATCTGTCCCTCTCTTCAGAGGTACCTCTTTTTCAAAGATGGAGCTGAGAAAGTACAACTCCTACTTGTTTTCTAAACCTAAAAACTAAAACAAATTGTCAGTCACATTATTTGTTCAACCGGTACCCGTAACAGACAAGTGTCTATTCCCTTTTATAGTTGTCCTCCTGAGCGGTTCCATTCCACTACAGTTCTGGCCCCTTAAGAACATAAGAGAGGCCAATGGCCCATCTGGTCCAACACTCTGTGTCACACAGTGGCCAAAAATACCAGGGGCCATCAGGAGGTCCAGCAGTGGGGCCAGCACGCCAGAAGCCCCTCCCATTGTTGACCCCCCCCCAAGCACCAAGATGACAGGGCATCACTTGCCCCAGAGCCCCTATCTATACCTTGTGGCTAATAGCCACTGAAGGACCTCTGCTCCATATGCTTATCTAATTCCCTTTTGAAGCCGTCCATGCTTGTAGCCACCACCACTTCCTGTGGCAGTGAATTCCATGTGTTATCCGTTCTAACCCGACCACTCAGCAATTTCATGGAGTGCCCACATGGAGTTCTTGTCTTGTGAAAAGGCCCTCCTGAACATTTCTGTTTTGTGCGCTCTGTTGGGGGAGGGGCCCTTCCTGACCTCCGTGGGCCACCCATTCATTCCACAAGGAGGGAGCTGCCCAAGAGAAGGCACCTGAATGGGCGGTGGCTGAACTTCCCCATTTGCCAGGCGAGGGTGAAGCTGCTGGGGCGGGGCAGGAGAGGCCGTGTCGCAGGCCTCTGGCTCCGAGGCCACGAGGACCGTCCTCAGTGAGGGCCAGCCCTGTGAATTGGACTCGGTCGCTTGGTGACCACCAGACACGGGGCGTCAGAGGCCTGCAGTCTCCCAAGCTCCCGGGAGTTTCCAAGGTGACTTGGAAGGCAGACCCGAGCACCACGTGTCACAACAATCCGGTCTTGCGGTTACTGTGGCATGGATCCATGAGGCCAGATTGGCTGAGATGAGGTGAGGAACCCTCTTCCAGGAGCAAGGAAGATGGAAGAGATCTTTGTTTTGTTTTGTAGCTGCATTAACTTCTTTCTCCAGTAATAACAGTGGGCCCAGTGTAGTCCCTGGGCCCCACATCAAATGTGGGGAGTCTGGTGTCCTTCAAGAAGTTACCTTTCCGGACCAGTATCTCCTCCATCGAGTCAAGATTCAGATTCAGCTTGTTGATCCATAACCAGTTGAGCACAGCAGGCAGGCAGTGATTCAGGGCGTCTGCACCAGCTCCCGGCAATTTGGGTAGAGAAACACAGAACTAGATGTCATCAGCATATTCTATTCGTTAGATTTCTATCACGCCCAAAATGGCCAGTGGTTTTCCCCGAGGGCTTTGTAGAGAGAGGAAGAAACCGCACAGGGAATAAGACTGAGCCCCGTGGAACCCCCCACCCAGCGCGTGTCCCGCACGGAGGCCAACTGGTTTTCAGCCACAGCCCTCCAAGCCTTCTCCATTAAAGGAACCCTGTAGTGCCGGTTTTGGCACGGCAAAGCCGCTGTGCCACCGGGCAGCTTTAAATTGTCTCCCCCCCCCCCAATAGGCATCCTTAGACATGGCCTGTCGCTAGCTGAGGCATTCAGCAGAGCAGACACACCCTGAGGGTTTTGAGCTACCACCTGTCTGAGGTGATGATACCCACGTGGTTGCAGTTGGACCGGCATCCTGTGTTTCACGGTGGCCACCAAAATAGAACCAGGGAGCAGACAGGCCGCACGCACACACACACTTGCGCACACATGTGCACACGTGGTGCTGCTTGTGCCCCAGCAGGGAGGGGTTCCTGCCTCATACATGGACTTTGCTTGCCATGTTGTTGCCCACTCGCCCAGTTGGGAGAGACCCTTTTGCAGCTTTTCACCGGTTGCTTCAGTTATCACTATCTGAAAGTTCTGCACCCTTGCCCACCCAGCTGCTCATCTGCCCCAGATCCAGAATGTAAATAGTTCTGTCCCAATACTGATCCTTGTGGGACCCCGCTGTTCCCTTGGCTCTACTGTAGGAGCTATTCAGTTGTTCCTAGTCTCTGCTTCCCACTTTTAATCATAAGAAGATAAGAGACGCTAGTGTTGGATCAGGCCAAAGGCCCATCCAGCCCAACACTCTGTATCACACAGTGGCCAGAAATACCAGGTGCCCTCAGGAGGTCCAGCGGTGGGGCCAGGACACTAGAAGCCCCTCCCACTGTTGCCCCCTCCCCCCCAGGCACCAAGAACACAGAGCATCCCTTGGCCCAGCCCGAGAGTTCCTATCTATACCTTGTGGCTAACAGCCACTGATGGACCTCTGCTCCATATGTCCATCCAACCCCCTCTTAAGAGCATAAGAGAAGCCAATGCTGGATCAGGCCAAAGGCCCATCCAGTCCAACACTCTATGTCACACAGTGGCCAGAAACACCAGGTGCCCTCAGGAGGTCCAGCAGTCTTTGGGTGAAGAAGTACTTCCTTTTATCCGTTCTAACCCGACCGCTCAGCAATTTCATGGAGTGCCCACGGGTTCTTGTATTGTGAGAAAGGGAGAAAAGTACCTCTTTCTCTACCTGCTCTTTCCCATGCATAATCTTATAAACCTCGATCATGTCACCCCTCAGTCGTCTTTTCTCCAAGCTAAAGAGCCCTAAGCGCTTTAACCTTTCCTCATAGGGAAAGTGTTCCAACCCTTTTATCATTCGAGTTGCTCTTTTCTGCACTTTTTCCAAAGCTATAATATCCTTTTTAAGGTGTGGTGACCAGAATTGCACACAGTATTCCAGATGAGGTCGCACCATTGATTTATATAGCGGCATTATGATATTGGCTGATCTGTTTACAATACCCTTCCTAATAATCCCCAGCATAGCATTGGCCTTCTTTATTGCAGTCACACACTGTCTTGACATTTTCAGTGAGTTATCTACTACAACTCCAAGATCTCTCTCTTGATCTGTCTCTGCCAGT